AAATTAGAAGAAGAATTCACTATTTTTAATTATAGGAAATGCGTTTTTTTAAGGTGCATAAACTTTTAGGATTGACTGTATAGCCAATACATCCTTAATCGAGGTAGAGAACGGAATCCGAGAATTTATCATTGGCACGTCATGTGCGATCGCTTTGAAACGAAACAATGACGGGCGCGAGGCTCCGGGGTGCGTCTCTGTCCTCCTTGCTTTTACGTTCCGTCTTTTTTCTTTTCGATATGTAATAGAGAAGGTAGTGGAGGATGGAGATCGTGGACAGTGAACAAGCGCGAGATAAACGGGAGAACGACACAAAACGGAAACGCAATCGTCTCGTTGAACTGTCTTTCGGGCGGTTTAGCTTCGGTGCGGTAATCTCTTCTATGAGGGTCGGTATTCTTTCTTACGTTTCTCGTTTTTTTTTACTTTCGCCTAACATAGCAGATGCCTTACTCTAGGTTTAGCAATATGTAATTTGCTCTGGATAAGAGATAGCGGTATCGCGACTTCAGCATCCTGTCGACGTTTCTCGTTTACAGTTAAATTCTAGTAGGAAACGAGCTAGAAAAATTTCAAGAAGAACTGTCATCGATCAGTTCGCAAAGTATTGCTTGTATTCGAAATTAAAAATGATTTATTCAATTGTATTGCGTTGAACACGAATTTTTCAAATAAATTGTTTGAGCTGAATGGAATTATTGAACGCCGACAGGATCCTCAAGCTCAAGCACACGGAAACGCCTATGTCGTATTTATATCTATAAAGTCCTACGCTAAACGTTTTCGATTAAAAGTGTTTTAGCTTAGAGATTACATAGAACGTGACTACGTCTCAACCACTACAAAGATCAAACGACTACAAGAGAGAAACACGTTGAACTTTTTTCTGACGGTGGGATCGGTAACAGGGTCGGACGCGACGATGAAGGAAAAGATTCCGGGATGAACGGGTGATATCTCGATGTTTCAGGAACATGGAAAAGAGAAAGAGGAGGTGTGGGATCGATCACAAAGATCCTGATTGCGACCTGTGCACAATTCTCTTCTGAATAAATCACATTGCGATTATTTATTTGCGTCATACGTCTCCGAATGGACTCCTTTCTTACACGTAGCTTCCCCTCCCCGTGCATGCACAATGCAGAAGAGGTAAGAATGATATTCGTATTGATCTCTCGATCTTCGTTTCGTTTACGCTAGATCGCTGTCTTTCTTTTTTAACTTCACGGGAATACTGTCGGCTGTCAGCTTGGCTGGCTAACAAGGCTGTCACGTATCGTCGTCCACGTTTTAAATACGAATCAATCTTTCAATATTCGACCCGAATACAACTATTGAGATGAATATCAAATTCGGAAAGCGTTCAACGTTTTTTTTTTCGGAACGAACACTTTTTATAGTTTCGTTCGTTCCGAGGAACCAATTA